TATACATGCAAACACATGTACACAGAGGGTCTAAATTCAGTAGAGTGCTGAGCCTCTCATTTTATTCCCACATCCCAATCTCTCTCTCACATACGTATTTTTTTTTAAATTGGGTTTATTGCTTTTTAATTGTTTACTTTTCTCCTTTTAATTTTTTTTTAATTTCTGTATTTGGTACAGGGTCTCACTATGAAGCTTGGACTCATAGTAATCCTCCTTTCTCAGCCTCCCCAGCACTGGGATTACAGACATGTGCCACCATGCCTGGTTTCAGTGGACAGCTCTTAGGTCCCAGGCCGGTGTGGCAAACAGTGCTACGGATTGAACCCAGGTATTGTGCTTGCCAGGCAGGCACTTAGACTGCTGAGCTATCTCCCTGGCACTCCTAGTAAGATTTTTATAAGTATTTTCTTCTTTATGAGTATTTTGCACTTCTTTTATTTTTTTTTTTACTTCTGACTTAGTTTATTAAGCACTTTTCTATTCATGTAACTCCTAAATTTTTGATCATTATAGATTTTAAAAATAAAATATTTTAAAGTAAAAATTCACTTTGATCCATTGTTTTTAATCTAAATATTCCATAAAATATATGAATTTAAGTTTAATTTTTAAAATGCAGTATATCTAAATATTATTCATATCTATTTAAATATCAGAGTATGTATAAACACAATTTTTAATTTGTTTTGGGGACTCATACACATATTCTCAAGTTAAAGGATCATTTTATTAAGATAATTTATCAATTTCATGCTTTGTCATTATCTTAATTATTGCTAAGTTCTATTTCATTTATATCAGTTTGAAAAAATTTTACTGAAAATTTCATGTCCAGGAGATAATTTTTTCTGTGTAATCAGTTTTTCTTCCTTACTAATATGTAATTTTGACACTTTCATAAATTATCTATGTTAACATTGTATATTCATAAATAATGAAGATATGTGAGATTCAGAGTGAAAAATTTTCTAAAGGATTAAAATTTCACTGTGGCTAATTTTCACTGAGGTTCTCATTAGTTTGGAGTTCTTTCTTACCTTCTTTTTAATTAAATTGTACATGACCACTGATGTTACCACTTTTTTTGTTATTGAATTGAATTGAATTGAAGAAAACATTGTAGAATGTATCATATTTTCATTTTCTTTGTTTACTTTGGAAGTGTATTTCTTTCTAAAATTGGGTTTCTTTCCTATAATGGGATACTTCAGTTTATTTGAGTTAATGTAACAACAGTAGAACTTGCGTTTAGGGTTATACAATTTTGTAGTTCCCAGGGCTTCTCTCTTCAAGATTCTTCCTCAAATCTTGTAGCTTTCCTAAAATAATCCAAAGTGAATTCTTCACTTTCTGGAGCCTGCTCTGCACCTTTGACTTCACACACACAGGGTCATGTACTTTGCTCTCAGGGGCACACACCCTGGTCTACCACGCTTCAAAAAAAAAAAAGAAAGAAAGAAAGAAAGAAAGAAAGAAAGAAAGAAAGAAAGAAAGAAAGAAAGAAAGAAAGAAAGAAAAAGAAAAGAAAAGAAAAAACAAAAACAAAAAAAACCTGGTTGGAAGTCTTCCTGACTCTACAACTTTTCCATTCTGCAAGTGCCTACAACCAGGACCATGTGGATGATGGGTGGCAACCATTTGGAGTAGTAGTCAGGCGTCCTTCCCCTGGAATGTAGTGGTTGAGTACTTGGATTGCTGACTGCTGGGAATCCAATCCTATGGAACAATTTCTCTAGGACACTACTATTGTGTAAATGGTGCTCTGGGCATTTCTCAAAGCAGTCTTTCACTTTTGCAGTTTTGAAGTTGTAAAGCTTTGAGTCTTGTTGGTTCTTGTAATGTTCTCAAGCTATTGTTCTGTGGTTCTGTCCCTTTTTAACAATCGAGTTTCTCTGCTCCATTTTCCAGTCATACTTTATTGGAAATTTATTTCTGGCTAAGCTCAAGGCTCTTTAACTCATTGTGCTGGGACCTTTGCTCTTGACTCTCAACATGGATCTGGCTAAAAGTCCTCACTCAAGAGTAGCCCTGCCACAGGCTTCATATTAGACTGCTTTCAAATTTCTTCCATTAAATTAGTAAATTTGCCACACTTAGTCTCAGGCAAAGTTTCTTGACATGAGCACAATGCAGACCTTTTTGTTTTTTGTCAAAGAGTAACACATCTGGTCTGGAGTCCAACAGTCAATGTAGTCCTTGTTCCTAACTAGAACCTGAGCCTGGTCCTAACCAGAAGCATTTTTTTCAGCATTCTGATCTGAGTTCTGAGCTGAATTTCCATCAAGTTATGCTAATAGATTTCCAGGACTGTTTCTTCAGTCAGCTTCTCCAAAACTTTTTAAACTCTTCTTAAGAGCCAGTGCCAGAGGCTCCAGAATTATATGCCCCAATAATATCACAGAAACAACCTCACTTCTCTACAATCGTAATCTGTCTTGGTGTCTTTCTAGAGGCTGAGACAAAATAGCCATCATCCAAAGTTGGCCGTACTTTCCGGAGCCCTCCAGATACAGCCCAAGCCCAGGCCTGGAAAGTGTGTGGGAGAGCTTCTGCACTCCCCTGCATCCCCTCAAACCCTCTGGACTGAGCCCAAGCCCTGAATGTGAGAGACACCTTCAGCCATGCTCTCAGGACCCCTCCGAACCTCTCCAGAACCAGCCCAGGCACTGAGTGTGAGTGAGAACTTCTGCTGCGCTCTCAGGACCCCTGCAGACCCAGGCCAAGCTAAGGCCTAGCAAGTGTATGGGAGAGCTTCCATGCTCCCCTTTGCCTGCTGGATCCCTCTGGACCCAGCACAGGCCCACTGGTGAGTAAGTCTTTCTGTTCTGCTCACTGGACCCCTCCAGACTCAGTCCAGACCTGGAATACAGGCCTGGTGTGAAACTCTGAAGCTGAAGTCCCTGCAGAGAGGCTAGGGGCAAGAATCACCCAGCTAATCCAGGAGCAGAACATCTTGCCAGAGGGGCACAACAGGTTCCCTTCCAAGGGCTGCAGCAAGAAAAAGCTGAGCACAGCAGCCAGACCCAAGCCAGGATCAACTGGATGAATTCAAACTTCGTAGATCTGCACCTGGTAAACTGAGACACTTTGCTAGACCCAGATATATAAAACATCCTCCCTCTTTCTCTCTTGACTGGGAGAGGAGGCAAAATGTAACCAGGGTGAACTAGTCTGCCTGGAAAACACTAGGTACATCAAGGAGAGGTGATTAAACAGAATTTAGCGGAACTAACTTAAATACAAATTCCCAATTTAAATTCCGCTTAGCTATATAAACATAATGATTGCTCTTACTGTCTAAAATACAAACCCATTAGTTACAAAAGTTTGTCAACTGGCTAATATCATTACCCATGATTAGTGTTCCTTATTGTAGTTCTGTAGATACAAAACTATAACTGCCTTAATCATTTAATCTCTCTTGGGTAAGAATTTCAGTAGGTGCTAAGGTTATAACTGCACCGAAGATCTACAACAAAGGTCAGAGGACAGTGGTATACAAAATGACAAACAGAAGGAATAAAATACAACCTCAGTCCCCAAGCCCACCCAGAACAAGTGCAGAAGACACTATCACAGAAGAAACTGGTACTCATATAGCGTCTGAAGTAAAGAAACCACTGCAGAACTGTATAGAAGCAGTTTGATAGGGATTGCATTAAATCTGTACAGCAATTTTGGGAGTACGACCATCTTCACTATGTTGGTTCTTTCTATCCAGAAGCAGGGAATACCTTTCCATTTTCTGAAATCCTCTATGATCCCTTTTTTCAGAGTATTATAATTTCCTTGAAAAGATCTTTGACTTCCTTAGTTAGATTAATTCCAAGATATTTCATTTTCCGTGGCACTATTGTAAAAGGTATTGTTTCTCTAATTTCCCTTTCAGTGTGTTTGTTATCTGTGTACAGGAATGCTATTGACTTTTGGGTATTAACTTTGTATCCTGCTATGCTACTGAATTTGTGTATCAATTTTAGTAGGTTCTTGGTGAAGATTTTTTTTTTTTTTTGGTCTACCAAGTAAAGTATCATGTCATCTGCAAATAAGGGTAATTTAACTTCTTCCTTTACCTATTCTCATTCCTTTTATTTCTCTCTCTTGTCTAATTGTTCTAGCTAGTGATTCCAGAAGTATATTGAATAAGAGTGGTTATAGAGGACATGGAAAAAAGTTTTGACTAATAAGCACTCAGACAAAGGTCTGCTCTTTAGAATCTATAAAGAACTAAAAAACATTAGGGCCCCAAAATTGAAAGACACAATCGAGAAATGGTCATCCAAGATGAACACACGCTTCTCAGGAGACGAAATTAAAGAAGCGAATAAATATATGAAAAAATGCTCCACATCACTAGCCATCTGTGAAACGGAAATTAAAACAACACTGAGATAGCATCTCACCCCAGAAAAAATGGCTGTCACAAAGAAAATAAGCAACAACAAATGTTGGAGAGGCTGTGGGGAAACAGGAACCTTTTTCCACTGCTGGTGGGAATTTAAACTGGTGCAACTGTTATGGAAATCAGTGTGGAAACTCCTTACAAAACTAGGACTAGAAATCTCATTCAAACCAGCTATCCTTCTACTGGGAATTTTCCCCAAGGAACTGGAAACATTATATCATAGTGATATAGGTGTACCTATATTTATAGCAGCACAATTTGTGATAGCCAAATCTTGGAAACAACCAAGATGCCCATCATCTTAGGAATGGATGAAAAATATGTGGTATTTTTATACAATGGAGTATTACTCAGCTATAAAGCATGATTTATATGGCTAATGTGGTATTTACAATTAAGTAGTCTCCCATCTACGATTGTATGGTGAAATACATAGAAAAGGATGATTTTACAAATAGCTGAAAGCCTTTTAATAGTGCTTCTTTGTGTGGAACAGTTAAAGCTAATAGTCAATAAAATGCAAAGGTTGCTCTGATCTGAAGTTATGAACTAAAAGGTATTCCAAATTTGGATTAAAAAATCAAATATTGTGTGGTCATTTTGACAGAACATAATACTAAGATTAAAGTGATACAGAGAAGATTAGCCTGTTGCCTGTGCAAGGGTGACACAAATACATGAATGGTTGTGTATTTAAAACCTGTCTGCACACACACACACACACACACACACACACATGCACACACACACTGAAGAAAGTTGTTTTTCAATGAAAAATCCTCAATTACCTTAAAAGCTTGGCTTCTTCATGCACTTACCTTTATATGGCTTTCTCTCTTTTACAAAATTTCAGTTTCCATAGTGCTGAGGTGATTTAAGCAATTATTTATGATAGCATTACCTCATACTCATCTCAGCAAGGCTGCATCTGTGTCAAGAACAAACGTCGTGAGGCAATTGAACTTTCTCTCCCATCTTTGCTATAATCAATACAATGCATTTCCTTGAGGTCACACTTATCTTTGTCTTTGGGTTAGATGCAGTATCCTTTCACTCTGAAGACAGAAAAAAATTCCGTAGAAAGCGTTAAGTGGCATTCTACGAGTGTTTCCTCCTACTAAATGTAATATTGCTGGGTCAAGATAGCATTATTTGTAAAATGCAATTAAAGACACAAACACATGATATAGTTCGTGAATTTGTTTTGATAATACAATATTAAAATCTCAACGTGAATTATGTCAGTATAAGAAGAGTGTACAAATATCCTATCTACTAGCTCTTCTGTTGTAACATTAAGAACTCTATTCATTGTAAGTCAATTTTATGAAAATGTTATCAATCAGCTATTTTGTGCTGTATGTATCCCGAAATCTCCCAGTTATTTTTTTCACTGATATGAGTAGTATAGGAAACCAAAGCTAAAACTGAAAGCAATTCTGATTCTTCTATATGTTTTGAAATGCTGT